AGGAGCAGGGGGTATGCAGCAGAGGAGGTGAAGAGCACACTGTCCTCAACTCGCATCAGAGAAGATTGGCACCCACAAAAAGAGGCTGGGAGGAGGGACTGGGACATAGCCAGGGGCGAGGGGTGCCCTAAGCGCCCTGGCCTGAGACGAGACAGGTGGATTGTTGTGCCTCTCATTCTATCACAGACTCCTTCATTCCAACCATTCTTCATGGGGATGGTACAGGGGTGACGCAAACAGTCTCCAAAGACAGGCTGCTCAGGTTTGAACGCCAGCTTTGTCCTTGCTGAGGTGTTTGCCCCAGGCCAAGTCACTTAACCTCTCTGGGCCATTGTTTCCCATCTGGAAATTGAAATCGGTTATAAAAGGACCTACTTTCATTCGTCTTTCTAGAACAATAGAGCCCAAGCATTTTCAGGCTGCTGAAGAGAGCTTATGGACTTGAAGTGTCCTTATTTGTTTTAAGTGGGTATGTGTATGGAGCTGGGAGGTGTTCAGGAGTGTACGAGCCCTGTGCCTCCCAGGACTCTGCGTCCTTGCACCTGGTGTCCCCTCCCCCTGGAAGACCCTGCCCACTCTGCCCAGCTACTTCCATTCTCTTCTTTGGGTCTTGAGGTAGATGCCCTACCTGAGAAGCCTACCCTGACCCTCCAGGCTGGGGCCCGCGCCCCCCTGACCCTCACCTGTGCACCCCCTCACAGCCCTAGTTGCCCTGACTCTGCCTTGTCATAGTCTGTTCCCTTCAGTAGACTGGGTGCCACACGGGGGCAGGGACTGGGCCTGTCTTGGTCACTGCTGTGTCTAGGGTACCCAGCACAGGCTTCAACAAGTAGGGGGTTAGCACACACGGTCACACAGACAAACATTTGGAGCTACGACACGCGCATAGGGAAGTGGGGGCCAGCAGAGCGCAGAATTGGGAGTCAGAGCCATTTGAAAATGGGAAGGACCGGCTCAGGTGCTGGAGTAGGCTCCTCGCTGCCACTGGCTCAGTCGGCTTCCAGGTGTGTGGCCCTGGGGAAGCCACAGCCTCTTTCACAAACTCAGTTTCTTCCCCTGGAAAATGGGGGTGTGCAAAGTGTTCGTGCAGGCACCTGGCAGCCCACATGCGCTCAGTAGTCACGCTGGCAGCTGCTCTTGCCCCTGAATCTGCTCCCTCCACCGAGGCTCCTCTGAGTCTCAGTTCCCCCCTTGGCCACACTCCCCCTGAGACCACATGGACGGGCCACTCACTGCCTGGATGGGCAGGAGGAAGCCCTCATGGATGTTTACCTAGAGCGACCACCAAGAAGGATCGATGGGGCTGGCGCAGGCCAGCCTTGCCAAGCTGGTGGTCTTTGGCCATGCCCAGCTTTCCTGAAGGCGGCTGGAGAAGCGCCCAAGCCTGGCTGTTGGGGGACTGAGGAGGCTGGGATAAAGCTGAGGCCCCTTCTAAGAGGCAGAAGCTCCCAATTTGGGGGCAAGGGCTCTATGCATACCTATTAGGCACCCACTGGATGCCAGACCAGGCTGCTTGGGGCCTTTGCCCAAGCTATTCCAGCTGCCACGATCTTTTCCTGTTTTTCGTGCTGATCCCTGCTCTTTCCGCTCAGAGGACCCCACCTCCAGGAAGCCTCCCAGATTCTCTGGGTTGGGTCAGGCACCTCCATTTGGGTTAACAGTGCCTGAGTTCCTCCCACCACAGCTCTGATCACCCAATATTATAACTCGGCTGTGAGCACATCACTTAGTTGGTCAGCAAATACTGACAAGCCCTTAGTAGGTGTCAGGCGCTGTGCGTGACCATCCATGCTTAGGGAACTCTGCAGCAGGTGCTACTCTTGTCCCCTATTTACAGATAGGGAAACTGAGGCTCAGAAAGATTTAATAGTGGAAGGAAGCCAGGTCGCCTGTAGCCAGAGCACAGTAGAGTAGTAAGAGCTGCTTTTATTCCTAGTGACAGTGAGCTTACTCTCTCCCCTGGCAGTTTGGCTGTGACAAAGGCCATCTGTCTGGGGAATCAGGATGCACTTGTTCCCCTGTGGTGCCTGTGACCTTCAAGGAGTCTAGATGGCAGGCAATGCTGGCCACCCCTAACATCTGTTCTCTCCTTTTCCACAATAATAGAACCCCTGATTTTCAACTGGACCATTGGCCACACAGAATAAAAACTACATTTCCCAGCATCCTTTCAGGAAGCATGGCCACATGCCTAAGTCCTGGCTAATGGGTCATGAGCAGAAGTGGTGTGTGGGATTTCTGGGACGCGTGCTTAAAGAAAGAGGGTGAGCCCTTCCTCACCCCTCCTTGCTCATTGGCCGGAATCAGACGTGAAGGCTGGAGCTCAGGCAGCTGCATTGTCCCATTTGCTGAGGACGTGGAGCAGCAAGATAGAAGCAGCCCAGGCTGTGGACACCATGGAACCTCCCTGCCATTCCTGAACTGACCATTCATGCTAGGAAGCAAATAAGCCCCATGTGCTTAAGTGGTCTGGTTGGTCAGCCCCCACCACACACATAAACCACGACAGAGGACCTATTTTTGCCATCATCAATCTGAGAGGGGAAAATCTTCCCCTAAGCCACCTCAGAGGTTCTCAGCTACAGCAAAGCACAAAGGAACACTTGTTCCCTTGTTTGTTACAACAAAGCACACTTCCTTGTGTATGTGTGAAAAGGAAACCTCTAAACACAAACATTCGCTTGTGAACCCACCGAGACCAGACTGCAGGGTCCAAATCCCATCATCTCCCACATGCTGTATGATCCCAACCAAGTGTCTTGGCCTCTCTGGGCCTTAGTTGCCTCATTTGTAAAATAGAGGCCTGGAAGCGTTGCTAACAGGAATTTTCTCTGAGCTACTTAAAACCCTCCAGTGGTTTTATTCAGCACCTCAGAATAAACACTGAATTCCTTACCAAGCTTTGACCCTGCACATCCTGCCCTCACCTCCAGCTCTCTCCCTCGCTCACTCTGGTCCTGCCACATGGGCTTCCTCACGGTTCCCCCAACACCCCAGGCATGGCCGTGCCTCCGGCCTTTGCGTGTGCTGTGCTACCTGCCTGGAACACTACTCCTGCATGCTCACCTCCTCCTCGCCATTCTAGTCCCAGATCCATGACTTCCCTGACCGTGCTTGCCACATGGCCAAGCAAGAGCCTCACTCACAGCCCAGAAGAACCCTTAATGTGGCCCAAACCTTCTAAAGGGGGAGGGGCGTGCTGGGGACTGAAGCAGCACCTTATCTGCTTGCCCTAAAATTAAACCACATCTGAATTGCTGTCTGAATCCAAGTAGAAATTCACAGGAAATAAGGGGGGTTGAGGAACATGTTAAATGATACCACAGGGACCCCCAGTCGGCAAAACCCAGACCGGGGACATAACTGCAGGGTGAATGACCCAGTTGCTTCAACAAATGGAGTGCAAGGCAAAATTAAGAGAGAGAGATGGCTGCAAAAGGTCTCCACTGAGAGACCTAGGGGCCCATCAGCCTGACTCAGACAACCAAGAGGAACATGTACCCAAAACGTTCACACCCCCAGGTGTCCCCCAAGTGGAATCATTATTTTGAACATGATACTGGTATTTGTAGGGTTGTTGTTGTTGTTTTAAAGGTTTTATTTATTTATTTTTAGACAGAGGGGAACCGTGGAGGGAGAGAGAGAAGGAGAGAAATATCAATGTGTGGTTGTCTCTCACGTCTGCCCTACTGGGGACCTGGCCCACAACCCAGGCACGTGTCCTGACTGGGAATCGAACCAGTGACCCTTTGGTTCACAGGCCAGCGCTCAATCCACTGAGCCACACCAGCCAGGGAGATTGTTGTTTTTTTGTGTTTTTTTAAGAGGTCTTATCTTAAAAAGCAGGGCCTTTCCCCTCAGCACTGTGCACAGTCGGGCTGGTCATCCTCTGTGGGGAGGTCTGTCCTGGTTGCTGTGGGGTATCCAACCTTTTGGCATCTCTGGGCCACACTGGAAGAAGAAGAGTTGTCCTGGGCTACACATTAAATACACAAACACTAACAAAAACTAATGAGCAAAAAAAAGGCTTTAAGTAAATTTACGATTTTGTGTTGGGCTCCATTCATAGCCATCCTGGGCGCCATCCTGGCCCCATCCTCGCGTGTTAGACACCCCTGTGAGGGCCTTGAGCAGTATCCCTGGCTCTTACCTACAAGAGACTAATAGCACCCCCCAGTGGTGACTACCAGAAATGTCCTGGCCGCTGCCCACTGTCCTCTGGGGAAAAAAGTCCCTACCCCAGTTGAAAACTACTTTAGTGACAGAAGCTGAAATATTTACAGATGATATAAACACCTGGGATTTGCATCAGAATAGCAAGGGAGGGAGGAGTGAGTGAAAGTGGAGAAGACATAGGAGTGGCCTCGAGGTGATAACTGTTGAATCTGAGTAGTGGGTATGGGGTGGGGGTCATTATTCTATTTTCCCTACTCTGGATGTGTTTGACATTTTCCCATGGAAAAAATTAGAATGACGAGGGAAATTCAAATCAAATCTGGACTGTAGTTCATCTTAAGATACCCATGTTGCTTTTCTGGTTACAACAAACATGTTGTGCTTATGGAAGATAAGAACATCAGGGGGAGCCGGGTAAGGGTACATGAGAACTCTCTAGAACTTGGGCTACTTATTTAAATCTGAAATGATTTCAAAATTAAAAGTTTATTTTAAGAAAAGGTTTAAATGAATAATCAATGAACACATCCAAAATCAGCAGCCCGCGTGCCCAGGATTGGAACGGAGGCCGAATGAACAGAGCGACTTTGAATATCCTGCCCCTCCCCCCGGCCCACGTCTTCTCACTCACCTGCAGACAATGACGGCCAGCCTTGGGCTCTGCAGGGCTTTGTCACAGGGGTAGCATGAGGGGACAGCGGCCCAAGCAGCCCTATAGCATGCAGGGCGAGAATCTGTTTTCAAACCCATTTTATTCTCTCCAGACTAGAAACACTCATTCCTACCCTACCCACCCTGATCTTCGCCAGCCAGGTCCGCGGGCCTCAGAGTGAGCCTGGGGAACTCTCGGAGGACTCCATGGCCTCAGCCACCCCCACAGAGGTGGCACTGCAGCGGTGGTGCGGGCTGGCTCGGGCCAGCAGCTCCAGCCTCCGGGAGCGCAGCCGGGCCTGGATGGCCCAGATAGGGGGCTGGTAGCCCTGCGGTGGGGGGTCCTCGTCGATGCTCTCGATGGTGGAATCAGAGCTGTCTTCTGTGCTGGACACTGACTGTTTGCACACGGGGCAGGAACGCTGGGCAGCCTGGGAGAACCAGGGGTCAATGCACTTGCAGTGATAAATATGGGAGCAGGGCAGGATCTTGAGCTGCTCTCCCTCTTCATACTCGTCCAGGCAGATGGCGCACGTGTCATTGAGCCGTGTGAAGGTGCGGACCTGAGCCTTCCGGCAGGCCGGCATCTTAACCACTGCGGGCCCGCAGGTCCACCAGGACCACAGCCAGTTCCACAGGTATCGCAGGATGAAAAAAGCAGACATGAGCAGAGCCAGGGCGCAGCCCAGAGCCCAGGAGATGGCCAGCACAGGATGGCAGTCCAGGTCAGGGCACGGCGGGTAGTTGGGCAACAAGAGGACGTGGGCTGACTTGTCACAACACACGATGAGTCGCAAGTCCTCTGAGGTGGCCTCGCCCACGAACACTGCAGGGATGGAGATCTGCCGCCGCAGGTCCTCATAGACATGTGCCATGCGCACGAGATCATCTGAGAGGACGTTGTGCACAATGGCGGCCTTGAAGCCAGCCTGCTGGGCATGCAACACCTTCAGATCAAACGTGCAATCATAGCGACGGATGAGCACAATGGCGCCCAGGGAGCCGTTGCCCCCCGGCTGCGGGCCCTCGATGGGATGGCATGCGTTAGCCGGCTTGGCCTCCATCAGGTAGCCCCGCACACCCTCGGGGGCCAGGGGCACCCCGAACATGGCTGGCAAATCTTCAAAGTCCACTGTGCTCGAGTTGCCATCTAGCACAGCCCGCACCAACGCCTGTGAGGGCACCAGCAGCGCCAACAGGATCAGCGAGGCCCTGACCACCCTCAGGGCCAGGGCCGGCCGCCGCCACCCCATGGTTACCCCCGCCCCTCCTCCACTGCCTGCTTCGGTTGGAACCTTGGTCCCACTGGGAATGGCAGATGGGAGGCCTTTGGGCATCTCCAGGGACTCCCGGGTGCTGCAGCCAGGATGGAATGGAGGTGAGCTTCAAGGGCAGGCTCACAGGCAGGTAAGCAGAGCAGCTGGGACCTGCGTAGCCCTAGGCGGAAACTGCTTCTGGTGGCAGGCACGTTTGCATTGTGTATTTGAAGGCTGGTCTCAGGAGGAACTGACCCTAGCGGGGTGGCCTTGCTGGCAGATGACACTGAGGCCAGGAGCCCCCAGGATTCCAGATGCCCCCACCCTCTGTGACATCGTCCAGTTACATTCTGCCCCCAGGAGCCCCAGCTACCTAGGCCTGTGGCAGAGACCGAATTCCCAGGTCCCTGACCTGAGGGCCTGGGTAGCCTGTGTAAAAACTTCTGGAAGTCTCTGAGCATCCCCAGCTCCTCGGCTCTATGAGGTCATATGTGAGCTTGAGGCCCCAAGTGGCATGTAGCCAGGACTCACACTGTGTATGAGCCTCATCTTCCTGTGCCTCTCAGTGACCCAACAAGGAAAGTGCCAATGTTACCCCTTTTTGAGATTCCTAGAAGGACCCAGAATTTTTCAAGGCACCCTATCCCCATGAGGACAGTTCTTAAAACCCAAATACCAGACTTCCTCCCTCTCTCCTCCTTGCTCACTCTGCTGCAGCCCACACGAGCCACCTTACTGCTCCTACAACTTGCCAAGCATAGTCCTGCCCCAGGGCCTTTGCACAGGCTACTTCCTCCGTCTGCAGTGACCTTTCTCCCTGGCGCCAGCTATTTCTCATGACTCAGGTCTGAGTTCATATGTACTCAGAGTCTACCTGGAATTGATCTGGGGGAGGGAGAGTGCCAAGGGCAGGGCGGGGTGGCCCCACGTCCTCACTGCCTGGTAGGCCTCCTACACCACAGAGGTTTATTCTCTCACTTTAGAGGTTTCTCTCCAGCTGAGTCTCTAACCGTCTCCCATTCTTTTCAGAACCCTGGGCATCAGCCTCACATCCTCCCCACCCTGAGCCTGTCTCCTACCCAGATTGGCAGCCTGCTCAGGTCTTGATTCCCGGCTCAGCCACTGGCAAGCTCTGTGACACCAGGTAAAATGCATACCTCTCTGGCCCCAGCTCCCAGCTCTGTAAAGTGGGCACAATGATGAGGAACCTACCTAGTAGGACTGACGGTGTGAAAACCAAGCGAGATACGGCATGACTACTGCTCAGCGTAGGGTCTGACTTTGTGGCTCTCGCAGAGCGGACCTACCTCCAGTTTGCAACCCTTCCAGTTAGTCACCACGTGGCAGTCGGGGGGTTTTCTAAAATCTCAATCTTCTAGTCTCTCCCATGCACTGAACTCTCCCATGGCTCCCCACTGCCCTCCAGATAAAGTCCACCTTCTGCTCTGTGCCCACCCCGCCCCCGTGGCCAAGCCCCTTCCAGTCTCAAAATCCCGAATGCTCTTCAATGCTCCAACTACCTCATGACCTGTTGACCTCTAGCATTTGTAAATGCTCTTCCCTCTGCCGGGAAAAGAATCCTCTCTCAGCTGCATTTCTCCAGGTTGACTACTTCCTCTTTAGGTTTTTTCCCATCACTGTCATACCTCTCTTACAGTGGCCCTGAGCCAGTGGCAGAAAGAAGGCCACATGACAGCAGAGACAGAGCAGAAGGATGCTCCTACAAGTCAAGGGTGCCAGGGGTTGCTGGCCACCACGAACCAGGAGAGAGGCAGGAGCCAGATTCTCCCTCAGAGTCCCCGAGAATCTTGGAAACAACTTCGCCAGCACCTTGATTTTGGACCTCCCACCTCCAGATCTGTGAGGGAATAAATTTCTGTTGTTTTAAGCCCCCCATCTTGCGGCGCTTCACTACAGCAGATGGAGATGAATACACACTTGTCCCAGGATCTGCATCTGGGCGAGGCCAGCCAAGGCAAGGCCTCACCACGATGACCCTGGAGGGCAAGTAAGGATGGCCTTGGTGTAAGGGGGCAGAACAGCATGCTGGGGGTGTGAATGGCACGTGAAAAGGTCCTGAGGGGAGCAAGATACAGAGATAGGGAAAGGGAGAGAGTCAAATGGTTGAAAAGGGCAAGCCATTCAGAGTGGCTGGAAAGAGGGTCTTACTCAAGGATGGAAGAGAGTTGGGGAAGCACGGGCCAGGCCTGACCAGAATGAACACCGCTGGCCTTGGGGTTTTCACAGAGGATGGGGAGCCACAGAAAAGTTTAGAACAGAGGCAGGACACGGTTGGATTGTGTTTCCCAACTCCACTGCATCTATTTCTGTGCATTGCTTGGACTTTTTACAATGGGAACAAAATCACTTATTACTCCTGAAATAAAAAGAGATTTTTGTGTCTGAAACCTGGCTGCTGGGTGGAGCTTAGGCTGGAGGGGGAGAAAGAGACCAAGAAGCCAAGGAGGCAGCCAGAGAACCAGGGAAGCAACTGGGCGGAATGGGATGGATAGGAGGGGACAAAGAGAGACGCGGGCGGATGATAGCCCTAAAGGTGAGGGTGGACGCGAAGGAGGAGAGGGGCTGAACACCCCGACGTCACCCCTTTCAACTCGCTTTCTCTGGGGATGATTTTGAGAACGTCTTGCTTGGTGCTACCGCCTTTAACACCTTTCAGGCAGTTTCTAATTTCCCTAAGAGAAAGGTCCTTGGCCCCGTTGGAATTTTAAGACACCATATGGTTTACTGTGTCTTTGTTTTTTGTGGGCCCCATCTCTTTGCAGCAAGAGATACACATTTTCCATTTATGACTCTCACAAAGTTTTCCTTTTAAAGAATGATAACAGGTGAGTTGATCTTTAGGAAATATGTGATAAATAAAGGAACAAGTGGATGACGATAGGGAAAAGATAAGGAAAGATGTCTCCAAAGACAGAGAGTTGATAAATAGGGTGTATGCGTTTCCTAGCACTGCTGTAACAAACTACCACAAACTGGGTGGCTGAAAACAAAAATTTCAAAAATTGGCTTGCAGTTCTGGATGCCAAAAGTACAAGATCAAGGCGTTGGCAGAACTTTGGTCCCTGCTTAGCCCACATGCAGGGAAGGCTGGGTATGCCAGATAATTAGCATACCCCTGAACCAAAGACTGATGGGACTGGACAAATACCCAGCCTGTATTGCCCCTCAGATGAGATAACTCTGGGGTGCAAGTCCGTCACCATCTCCTAGAGGGTCCCAGCAGGTCGAGCTCCAGCCGCCCAGCCCCCGAAACTTACTTAACAAGGCCTCCTTCGCAGACTGCCTTCCCTTTCCTGTCTCCCTTTCCCCTCTCCCCTCCCAGAGTTTTCTGAGATCACTTCCAAAATAAATAGTTTGCATTCAAATCATTGTCTCAGTGTCTGATTCTGGGAAACACAAATAAAGATGTTGCCTGAGAATACAGGAACACGCACAATTGACAATAGCCAAGTGCTGAAAACAACCTAAGTGCCCATCAATAAATGAGTGGATCAAAACACTGTGGGACATTTATGCAATGGAATACTACACAGCAGGAAGAAAGAATGAGCTCCTACCCTTTGCGACGTCATGGATGGACCTGGAGAGCATTATGCTAAGTGAAATAAGCCAGGCAGTGAAAGATAAATACCATATTATCTCACCTATAAGTGGAGCCGAATCAACAAAACCAACAAGCAAGCAAAATAGAACAAGAGACATGGAAATAAAGAACAAACTGACAGTAACCAGAAAGGAGGGGGAGAATGGGGGGGGAATGGGAAGGGTCATCAAGGAACGTGTATAAAGGACCGACGGACAAAACCAAAGGGCATTAGGGCTGAGGGTGGGAGTGGGGGTGGTGGGGCGAGGGAGAGTCGGGGGGGGATGGAGACAATTGTACTGGAACAAAAATTTTAAAAAATAGAGAATACAAGAATGCACAGGAGAGTAGAAAAAAAGAGACTGAGAGAGACTTGGGTCCTAAGAACATCATTTCAGCACCTCAGTCTGGCTGAGCCCGAGGCCAAATAACCCCTGAACCCCTGTGATATAAACTAACGCCTTCCTTTTCCTGCCTAAGAAAGGGTTTCTATCCCCACGCCACTAATCTCACAGGGGACAGGGAGACTTCAGAATCCCACAGGAAAGACACTGGCGCGATTATATGTTTGATTTTCTTTTCTCTGCTCCATTCCCACCTCTCTCCGAACGTTTCTGGCACTGCCTCCTTGAGGGATGCCCAGAGGGAATGTACCAGAGATGTCTGGCTCCAGTGACCATTAGGTGTGGAACAGGTGTCAGATGGGGTGATGGGACGTGTCTTGTGTTCGCTCTAATTCCCCCAGCGGTCAGTCCCATCTCCTTCCTTCCTCGAGTGCATCTCCTGCTAAACTGAATGACACACTTGCCTCTTCCTGGGCGGGTATGCAGTACACACACACGCCCAACAGGCCGGTGACTGAGGAGGCCAGGCTTGCCCCCTGGCGCTGGGGCTAGGAGGAGGAATGGGAGGTCTGCAAGGGGTCTGTAATAAATCGCCAGGGAATCGTCACGGGCAGGCTGACCTGGGCCTCTCTCTGTCTCTCCTCTCTATGCATCGCTGTCTCTCTAGGAACCTCGGACGCTGTCTTGCCTTCTCTCTTCCCCTGTCTCTGTCAGTCTCTTTTCATCTTTCCCTCCTTTGTTTCTGTCTGTCCCTCCCTAACGTTCCGTTTCAGTCTTTCAATGTCACAGTCCCAATATCTCTGTTGCTATCGGACCCCTGTCCAAATGCCACCTCTAAGAAGAGGCTGGACTGCCTCCTCTGCCCCAGGCTTCCCAAATTGCCTGCTCCGCTGGCTTTGTGCCAGCCTGGTCCGCACTGGGACCGACACCCAGCTGCAAATTAACGAGCGTGCTGTCCGAGGCCGCACTGCTTCATTTGTCTTCCCATCTTTCCTGCCCCCAAGTGTTACTGGAGAAAACAGATTCTTGCACGGTGTCCCGGGAAAGGAATTCCAGGGACACACGTGTAGGAGGATTTTAAGCGACAGTGGCAAGACGTAATAGAGCCCCAATGCCCACAAAAAGGCTGCCGCCCTCGACGAGGCGCTTCCCCGGCAGGTCCAGCGACAGAAGCTGGCTGCTGTTGTCTGCCTGCCCCTAGGTACACCATGCCCGGTGCCTCTCCCACAACCAGGTGACTCAGCTTTGTCTTGCTACAGGAAGTCCAGCCTCTCGGGCTGCCGGCCATCGTCTGCACCCACCAGGACCAGAAGGGCCAGGACGCGGAGCTGTGATGCCGTCACCCCGCCACCCAAGGCTCCGGGAGCCCAGCACAGACTCTGCGCCTG